TTATTAATTTTATCCAAAAGTCAATTATTCATAAAATATTCATAGGTTTAAGGTAAACGAGTAGTACTTATCAGGTTAAAATATTGCTGGGTTTTAAAGTATTAATAAAAATAGCTAACGTTACTATGGTTGGCCGTAGCTCATATTATATAATACACATATGTAACCACAAATTTACATACACTCCGTAATAATTAGCCAGTTGTGTTTTATAATCCATTTTCGATGTTACGGTCAGATAGCAACTGAACCAGGCACATAGACAATTGACACCACCTTGGTGACGGCACTGTTCGTTGGACAAGCAACCGCCAGTGCATGACTAATAAATACCCTTATGTGTTTTCACATTCAACTCTTGAGCTTGGTCAATTTGAGCATCATACAAATAAATGTGTCAGGTAGAAAAATCACCTTTCACTTTCTGGGCCTTTATCACCATAAAGTCGTGACCCCTGAAGCTACTGGAATCCCTGTCCCCTATATTACCCCAATTTTACCCGATGTACGGACACTATTACTTAGGTGAGTTTGAATGTGGGTTGTCCATGTTGAAAAATTTACTAAACTACCCCGTGCTTCCCTGTCCGTGTCGCAGTTGTTGTAGAAATGGTGTCCCATATCAAGGTAGGTGCTACTGGCGTAGTAAAAGTGTGGAGTGCCCTCGGCACATTTCGATAGTGTTTGGGGAGCGTCGTATTGTTTGGAAACGTGACCACTAACTAGGTCATCCCAGTTTTTGTAGTACGAAAATTTTAGGTGCCTCACAGGCTCCTGTTCCCAGGCCACGGCAAACCCTCCGTCCTCTGCCACTGCTATTGTAGGATGAGTTGCACTAGAATTTGCACCCTGGTAATAATTATACAATGTTCATTTTGTTTATTTAATTATTTTAGTTACCTAACTTTGATCAGTTTGATATATGTTAAATAAGTTAGGTTAATTTTGTTTAGTGTACTACAACAATATATAAATAATAAATAAAACTAATTTATAATGTACTATTTGCCTAGACTAATTAATTTTATTGTGTAATAATATAAGATCAAATAATTTTTAGAAATTAATTTTAAAATCATGTAAGAACAATGTTAGTTTATTTTATATGTCCCAGGCATTTTTATAAATGCGTTAATGTAGGTTAAATGATCTGGTTACCTGAATTCCCGGTCCACCAATGGCCCTAAACCACGTCCATTTACCCAACACGTTGTCAGCCGTAGCCATATGGGAGTATGCGATACCGTTCTCATAGGAATGGTAGACCCCTATAAACCCCTTTACCTCCGGGTTGGCTATGATTTTGATGCAATCCATGGATCGACCCTTACTTTCCTTTGCCCCGTAAACATGCCCGGATGAATCTGCCACGTTTCAATCATGGATTTTATGGCTGACCTAGTAAAATTTAAGGCATCATCATCAGTGGCAACCATATAGTGTATGCCGTGAAAACTATTAGTATTAGGTTTACCATGCTTATAACTAATTTTATTAACAAAATTATATAATAGTAAATATAATGATTGTTAATTTATAATATGATTTTTTAAAATTGATTTTATTTTTTGATGCTTATATAATATAAGTTTAACGGATATGTTATAAGTGGATTATTATATATAAACAAAATAATTATTGTTTAAAACGTGTATTTAACAACAGGTGCATGCTGAGATTATTAATTATAATAAATAAATTCTTAGAATTTACTAAACTTTTTAGTGTAATATTTTATAGTTAATTAACTCATAAATAAATTTTTAAAATTAAAATTTTTTAAATAAATAATTTATGTTGTTATTATACACATTAAATGTCGTAATAATATATTAAATAATACCATAATTTTATGATTAATTATTATGTAATTAAGTTTATGAGTTTGACATTTTGATTATATTTATATGATATAGTACCTACTGTAAATGCATATGCTACTTAAATAAATTTATAAAAGTTATGAAATATTTCAGTTTATTTCAAAAAATATTTTTAAATAAATTTTATAATAATTGTTTGGCAATACAATTGAACAATTAATAATAATATGTAGTAGTATTATGTGCACTAATATAATAATAATTTCATATAATATTAATATTATAAAAACTTTAGGCAATAAATCATAAGTCATAATATTTAATGATACTACGGTATAGTAGTAAACTCAATAATATCTATAAGATATCATAACATATTAAATATCAACTTACTTTAGTATGAAATACAGCACTAGTAGTATAATTACTATCATAGATAAACCAAACGAACTAGATCAAGTCATAAATGTTATAAAATAATCTCATTGAATATATAATTTACATATACAGTAATACTTTACCATTAATAAGTGGTGGCATTATATTTAGTACACAAAAATGTTTGCAAGTTTGAAAATTGTACACAAAAATTTGAAATTGTTTGTCAAAAATAAATTCAATGACTTTTTGGATGCAAACACCGATCCGTCAATAGCTGTGAATAGGTTTCAAACATTTATCACAAAAACATTTATAACTATTCATACGTTTGATGAATACGTGAATCGCGTAACTCGGACCAGACGGGCCATTATGGTGACATTTACCCGGCTTATCACGTTACTCGCGATGTTAAGGTATGGAATATCTGCGTTGAATGAGCCTAATGATCTAGTTAATTATTTACTATGCGATCCCACCTATATCATTGGGGATCGACGGTTAATATCGTGTTTACTATTCGTTGTGTGCTTCAATATATTATGTGTGACCGCTACCATTCAATACCAAGAATTGCGACAAACATTATACCCAAGCACCTTTTACTATAATTTTAAAAACAAACGATTGGATCCAAAGTTGAATGTTAAAAATGATCGCAAACTAAATTTGCGATTTAGCATGCTGAATAAATATTGCATGTTACAACCATTTTATATTGTAGCCGCGATGCTATCGCTAGTTTCCTCGTTAGTCGCGGCATTGGCTTATTTGGACCCTGACACAGGTCAGCCATTATTGGGTGCAATATTATGGCAAGTATGTATTAATGTAGTCCTTGAGCAATTTTCTAGCCTGTTGTTCTTTGCATTTATTGGCGCATTCATTACAATCTCGTATCTCAAGTATAAATACCGGGAAGTCAACGATAAAATCAGACAAAACACACGATTTAATAATAGTGTTAAACTTATGGAGGACATTGGTGAATATAATGCCGTATGTATTATAACGCATAAACTTAATGAGTTTATGAAATACATGCTTTGCATAATTTATTATATATTGACACCCGCATTAGAAATATGTCTATTTCTAACATTTGATAAACACTCGACTTTATTACAAATGTATTTATTTGGTGGTCTATTTATTGTGGTATTTAGTTTTGCATTCATGGTAAATATAATGTGTACCATGCTTAACACCACTGCATACAAATATCATTCAATACTGCACACATATATTTGCGCTAAAAATATGCGAATTCCTTATAAAAATAGACTCAAATTAATGGCATTTATGGAGAGATTGTCGGCCAAAGACATTGGTTTCTATTGTTATGATATGTTTCTTATGAATAATCATGAGTTTTATGAATATGTTGTAATGTTTATTAGCACTCATTTTTTGTTATTAAATTTCTTAAATTAATCATATTTTGATCGCCTTGTTAACGATTTCAGTAATTTAATTATGCCATGATACCCTTTAACAAACAATAAAATAATGAATTTTTGTTTACTCCGTAAATTATTTGTTAATCGTGAAATGTTTTCATAGCTCAAAATGTATTTTTAATTTATAATATTAAAATATTGTGGTATTATTTTTTAAATGTGTAGTCATTTATCAATTTTATTATTCAAGTATTGTACAGTACAATAGTACAGTATATGTATAGTATAATAACATGCAATGTTAATATAATCAATATATTAAGTAATAATTTAAAGTCTTCAAATAATAATTAAGCATAAAATTAACGACTGCGATAATTATCAGTATGATTTGCTTAATAGGATAGGGTCTAGGTTATTTTTACAATTATTCTTCATTAATTTAATAATTTATGAAAACATTGTTTTATTAATTTTTTCATTGAATTCGTGTCCATATTCTGATGGCTTTATTACGAGGTCTCACTTTAGCCGCGGAAACCAAAAAGTTTAAAAACAATGGATTTTTAAAATCGTTATAATCTCCAGAAAACTGGTCATTACTGTAAACCCCAGGTGTTAGGGACACCCAATTATTAGTATAATTTTTAGGACCATACCCATGGATATCTACCGTAACCAATCTTGGTAAGTCACCCTCTTGAATTTTATCGTTAAACTTAGTACTACTGCCGCCTTCAGCTCTGAAAAATAACCCTGCATACAGTGGAGTAATATTGTCCCAGACCATTTTGGGCCACAGTGTTTTTGGTTCAGGTTGGTTTGGCAATTGTACATGTATGTAGCCAATGGGAACCGTATTTTTCTCATTCTCTGTCAATTTGTCCCTTAATTTAACAATAAGTTGTTGCATGTGTTCATGTGACCATTGTTGTCCACTTTGACAAACTACAAGATTTCTTTTGGTGCAAGGTTCATCCACCCACTTACCGGTATTGGGTGCTTTTGGGTCCAATTCCACGCAATTCTCTGTAGCATTGGATGGATGGCTAGTTTCCCAATTAGTGTATTCATCCTTGGACCCATCTACCCAGGTCACTTTCTTGTTACTTACTTTAGCCCCAATACACACCTGGTCTACGATCGTATGTTTCTTGAATAATAGGTCTGATAGGAAGTCCTGTTCCTGTTGTGAGTGTATGGTTAGTAGTGTAATGCTGTTCCCTTGACTCCGACATAATTCTAGCGCATAATCATAATTTTGAAAAGCATCAGGTATAATTTTGAAACATTTTTCATCCAAATATTCCTCCCATCCTACAGCACAAGTTGATTCAGCATGCAAGTATTTGACTATAATTAAAATAGTTGTAAACATATATAAAATAATTAAAATTTAATTGTACTATGTATATAAATGAGTTTACCATATATGAATATTGTAAGCTTTTAGCGCTGATCTTTGTAATAATTAGAGCACCGGTAGCTTATTTATAGTTGATTTAGCTTGCTTAATATAATTACACAGATTTAATATGCGCAAATTAATTATTTTTTATTTAAAGTAGTCACTAATACATTACAAAAGCCATCCTATGGCATAACATTCACAATACAAACTGGTTTTGTGTGTCACATAGTAGTGCTCATCACATAATAGTTGTATGCCTATGGACTACCTGTCCCATACCTTACATCATACATTAACATACTATGGCTCCAGAGCCAAGTTAGCGTTGTAAGGCATAGTCATTATTTATCATCTAATACAACACTAGTATTTTTAATCCTTAATCAATAATTTACTATAATACAAATGTTGTTTATTTTATTCATGAATATTCTGATTAATCATTCATATTATGAATTAAATATTAGAAATTAATAGTTTTTAATATAAATAAATCTTAACACATTAATATTTAAATGTGTATTTTTGTGTGATTAATAAAATAATAGCTTGTTATTTAAAAGTCACCAATTTTAGTGTTAAAAGTTTATATTACTAGTGTTGTGTACTTTTAATAAAATTGTAGATTTAATTCATCGCTATTTTTAAGATTTTAAAAGTTTTGTTAATGCATGCCTTACATAATACTCACTTTTTATAGTTTCCCCTAACAAAAGCCTTTATGTGAACATTCTAGAAATATTTTTCTACATTATTCTAGAAGTCTCATAACAAAGACCTTTATGTATTATGTAAGATTGAGTCATAGTATTACAATATATAGATTACAACTTTAGCAATGGAAGTCATATTTGGCAAATATTAATAAAATAATTTTAGCAAGTTAGTTATAAATTAACACAATATATTAAATTATTTGTATTTATACAAAATTATAAAATAATTCTATCTGAATTAATTAAGTGTTTTAATTGCTTTATTAAATCACTAAAATGATTATTTCAGTTTATCAGTTTAAATGGGGAACCTCGTTAGGTGTCAGCAAATAGTGCCATGATAATCTGCAATAACATAAACTCTATGATCATATCTACCATTTGAATTGATCAAACTTTCCGAATATCACCAACTAATCCCGTAAATCCAATTATAGTCACTGGTGACATACACATT